TAAAATGTGCTATATCCGAGAAATGAGAGCGTTTGTTTCTAACCGATGAAAAATTGACCGTGTTAGAGGTTCATCATGACTCATGCTCTCAGTATCCTTGGAAATTATCATTAGGATAATTTTGCATCAGCTACAGATTTCAAGAGTTGAATTTATCAAAAGCATCACGTCCATCCAAAGAGTTGTTATTTATAAAGCATTCGACAGAAGACATATCGAAGCTATGCTACAAATAAAAAATCGCCAATCGAGAAAATTTTGATTTTAAAATCCAAAAAAAAGCAGTCATTTAAAGTCTTCCTTAACAATCAGTCTTGAAACAGGTATATTCATATCATATAAAGTTTTCAATACATATTCAACCAACAAGAGTCAAAAATAGCTCGTTTATTCTTTGTCAGTTCTCATTTTGTAGATTTTTTTTCTAGTTGAAAGAACATGTCAGATTGAATCGTCCTTTCTTTTTTTTTAAATTTTTACTTTTAATTGTAGTTTAAAAATAGATGACAAGTTCAATGGAACTCTCAAAAAATTTGGTCATCTATTTATAGAAATGCTTCTTTTATATAATAATAATAATAATAATAAAGTGCACTAATGCTTTACATCCTTTCTCGAACAAAAGCTAGTTACAACGAAGCTTCTTCGAGAATTTCGAAATACGCAATCAAAAAAAGAACAAACAAAAAAAGATTTCCCGGTCTTTGTAAAAAAAAAAAGGAATATTTTTCAAGTAGAATTTAACGGAAATTATCGATGAGGTATCAAATAAAAAAAATCATATTGTTCATGAAAGATCAGACTTCGGGCTATCATTTCAATTTCATTTTTTTGACGGAGACCAGCGCCTTAATCATCAATCAATAGAAAAAGTTTTCATTCAAAAAATAAAAGTAACAGCATATAGAGTTAAAAGAATAAGCCGTTACAATACTTTCTATTAACCAATAAATCACAGACGCTTATACTCTTATTGCTAAAACAAGAAACATTTCTCTATTAGAATTCCCAAATGAAAAAAGGAAAGATTTTCTTATAGCTAAATAATTTTCTGAATATTCCCCTGAACGTGCAAGGTCAATTTACTACATTTGTATTTTAGCAAGTTGTAATAAAAGAATGACTATGAATAAAATTAATTGCTTTTTCTTTTTCTTCTTTCATTCCAATCAGTAGTGTAATTTTTAACAGTTTATTATAAAGTGAGAACCATTTGTCTATTATTCTATTTCATCAATTGTGAATCCAAACAAATGAGTGATGAATACCAAGTGCTTTTTTTTTTCTTTCGTAGGTAATCAAATCAAGGTTGATAATCATCATTGAGAAAAAAAAAATGTTTGATAAAACACTTTCAATACAATTTCTATTTAAGATCATATGAGTGAACTTGCAAGTCTATTCAAATAAAACTTTTCTTTTTTTTTTTTATACCGTTTTATTATCATTCTGTTGTTGATTAGTATCACATAGCCATTGTAAATAAGATTCTCGAGCAATTTGTTGTATTATTTCATCTTGAGTTGCTTCCCAGTCTGTTGCAGCTAATTTATCATCAAGCATAGTTCTTTCAATATGATTTTCTTCAGATTCACGTAATGCTGTTCGAATTAATGTTTCTTGTGCATGCTAAAATATAGAATTTATATTGAAAAACAAAAAAAAAAACCTAATCTATAGAAAATTTAATAATATTTTACTCCTGGTTCAAGATCAGGAAGTCCAAGTCCATGACCAGCTGTTGGTCTCCAAGGATCAATTATTGAATTATAATGTACACCACAATGATAACTTAAACGTATAGGTTCATTGTCTGTTGTATACATTCCATGTACAATATTAATTGGTTCTTTAAAACACAAAAAAAAAAAAGATATCAATAATCAATTTCAAAAAAAAAAACAAGTAATTACCTATACTATATTCATAAACCTCAATAGGTCGATTATATAATTCTGAAAGTGCAATCATTTCAATATGATTCCCATGACAATTTTGTCGTCGTTTTCGTGTTATATATTGATCAAAATCTTCTGTAATATAAGCACGAAAGAAATCGGAATTTTTTACCTTAACGAAAAAAAAATAATAAATTTATTATTATATAAAATGAAAATATTAATATTGAAAACTTACAATATAATCCATACAATTTTGACGAACTATCGCATGCATTTCTTCATCACCAAATACTTGATCAGCTAAAAAAAACAAAAAACAAAAATAAATTTAGATGAAAGTATTTTTTTTTTTTCTTTATTTACATATTGCTCGAAATAAACATGCACCATCTTCTTGTACAGGTTTAATTATAAAACCTTTTTTTTCTTTTAAAGTTTTTTCAAAATGCATTTCAAGCTAAATAGAAAAAAAAAACATTCAAATTTGAAAATACAAAAAAAAAGAATTATATAACAAACTTCATTGAGATTATTTCGATCATATTTTATTGTTGTTTGATCATATTCATCTTCACTATTATATTGATCATTTTCATTTGATGAATTATTTGTCGAATTTTCATCAATTGTCGTACATTTTCGTCTAGATTTTTGATTATAATGTGATTTACGTTTTGGATTATTAAATAATAATGATGATGTTGTTGTCATCATTGAATGTAAATTATCTGTTGTTGTCGTTGTTGCAGAAGATGATGATACAACATTTGTTACATTTGAATCATTATTTATATTTATTCCATTCGATTGTTCATCATCACATGATAAACGTGTTCGTGTTGCTGAAGAAATTTGTTGTTGTGCTTGTTGTTGATTGGATGTAGAATCTTTATTAGTATTTGAAGGCTTTTTAGTTGATAATACAGTCATGATTTTAGAAACCTTTTGTAATTGATTATCATAAAAGATATACAATGAAATAATCTATTAAAAAAAAAAAAAAAAAACTAATCATTGGGAACTTTTAAAAATTAATATAAGACAAACAAAGCTACGATGTCTGTTGACGTTATTTTGCGTCATTCGAAATGTATAGGAATAAATATTTATTCAGAAAGATTGATTTCTTTTTCATCGATTCGTTATGATTATCAATGAATAAATGTCAATGATAATCAATATAAGAAAGAAACAATGTTTTGTACGAGTTTTTTTTTTGTTTCATTATTATATTTAACTGTAATATTTCGTGTTTTCTTGAGTATTTAGATGTCGCTATAAATCAGTAAAAGAACGTTTAAAGATATATTTTTTACGAATTAATTATATAAAATAATTATGAATTAGTTTTATAAAACAATAATTCAATTCCCATAAACAGAACATAGTCCTATTTGTTCTTTAATAGAGGATATAAAGTACGGATCATGGCAAAAATAAATTTTTTTCTCTCTCTCTCTCTCTCGTTCGCTCGCTTGTTTGAGCGCATAGAGATATAGATAACTTTTTTTTTTGACAATTTCTTCTTCATTTGTTTAACTTATTTCATTATCTTACTTGATGTTATTTGATATTATTTCATTTATCTCAAATACTTTTACTGCAAAGCAATGAATTCATCTTAATCATCTATCGATCAGGTAAGCTATACGAATTTTTTAATATAATAATGATAAAAAAAACAAGCCTAAAAGATTGGCATGCAGAATTCGTTTATATACTAATAAAAGTATTCTCAAGCATTCGTTGATTCATTGATGACTGACACGTAACACATATATATATTTGCATAATATTGATAAGCGTATACATAGCTCTCTCTCTCTCTCGAATATTGCATATGAGTTTTTTTTGAACCGAATGCATATATATATATACAAACGAAAGCATGAAGCGTGCAAATATATGAATGAATTCGATACATATGTATCTATTTATATTTATATTAATAGCATTCTAATTGATGACGGTGACACCAAAGGAAGTCCGAGAAATGCTTTCAGTCTTTGTCATCATGTATATGTGCATGTGTGTCACTTCATTATTTCCTTCTCCCCCCCTTTCTCCTGTTTGCAGAGGAAGAAGACGTCGAGACCTGAAACAAGAGAAACGAAGAACACACTATGTATGTATGGGTGTGTGTGTATGTGCATATGTACGTATGTCTGTGACCTATCGGCATAGTATATATGGGTGTAGCATATACTAACACAAATGGGATCTCTTTATGCTACAGGCGCAATCGTCCAACCAAGAAAAGAGGAACAAAAACGAGAAGGAGAGAAAGCACATCGTTCTCTGTTTATCGACAGACGCCGATTGAAGCTAAGAGGAGAGAGAGAAAGAAAATATCTGCCAGATATACGTCTCTTTAATGCTTCTGTTCTGTTTTGTGACGTTGATATCAGATGCTGCCACTACGGCCGCCTGTGTTGGCAGCAGTATACATGCAGATTGAAGTATTGGTAATATACGTTGGTCTTTTCACTACTAATACGATTGCCGTTTCATTCGTCATCACTTGTCATACTGTTGGCGTTCTTATTACTGTTTCATCATTGTCGTCGTCTAACTGAAGCATACTTATATACAGCGCAGCAAGATAACTATCACCGCGTCGATCATCCTTATTTATCATCATTATTCTTATTATATTGCATTGCTTCGTCCCCGAAAAAAAAAGAACAAGAGGAAGAAGAAGACACCTACGCTTCTGCTTCTTTTTTTTTTCTTCGATTACTTTGTGCGAGAAAAAACGGCGACAGTAATAGTACAAAAAAAAAACTAGTTGGTAGGTGCTTCATACATCTATTTGGTCGATTTTTCTTTTCATATCCATTAATAGCCTTCTTTTCTCTCTCTGCCTTTATTGCTCATTGTCTTGAAACCCATATCGATGAAATGTATGTATAGATCAAGAGAAAAAGAAAAGTACCGAGCATAAAATGAAGAGGGAATAAGTGATACCAGACAATAATAATAATAATAATAACGAAGATTGATTGTTTAGATTAGACAAGTTTATTTCTTTTCAACAAATATGAATCATCATTGATTTACTTTTTTCTTATTTTTTAGAACATTTTGTTTATTTTCGTCATGTTTTCATTTCTAAAAAAGAAGTAAGTAATTTAAAATAAAAAAAAAAAAAAATTATTCTCGTAAAATAAATTTTAATTGTTTCTGCTTGATAGAAAAGTAAAAAAATCCGATAATCAACAACAGCAACAGCAACCACAACAACAGCCACAACAACAGATAATTCCAATTATTAATGAAAATAAAGAAAATTTATTAACTCGAACTGACAAACAACAACAACAACAATCACATTATCATCATGATACTGAATCAGGTGGTTTTGATTGTTCATCATCTGCTGTATTGCAATCATCGATTTCACAAAAAAAAACTTCATCTTCTCCTCGAACATCATCACCAATAGCATACGATAAAAATCTTTCAACAATACATCCAAATGTTGATCAAACATCGAAAATTCATGTTGATACGAATCATAATCCATCAGATAAATTATTACATATATGTGATTCAAGCGAACCAAGTCCCCGTGATTTAACAGACATTACTTTATCTAGTTTACCACCACATAAAGTAAAAATTAAATTTTTAATTTGTATCTCAGACTTACAAAAAAAAAAACATCAAGTCAAAAAAAAAATCATTTGTTTCTTTCAGACAGAAACATCTTCTTCATTTTCTTTTTATTCTTCTCATGGAAAACGAAAGGTGATTTAGTTTTATACAGACAGGTCAAAGAGCTAAACTAATTTGCTAAACTACTATTCATGACTAACTATTGGTATGAAATGTCAATCAGATAAAGATACATATATATATACCTATTTAAATATTGAATGTAAATTATTATGACATATAAGTTTTATCTTTTTCTTATTAGAGTTGTCATGTGACTTCAATGAGTGTAACATCACCGAGTCAAATAGGTGCAAGTGATCTTAATCGAATCTTAACATCAGGTTATATAAATGGTGAAGAAAACATGGGTTATATGAAAAGAGCTGGTGATCATATAGCTTCACATACGAAGTCGCCACATTTCCATCGACCAAGTAAATATTTTTTTCTGTTCTTTATTTTTTGATTTTTTAATTAAAAAGAATATTCTCATGAGTTTAGTAACGATGACTGCACTTATAATGTGTGTCAATTGAACACATAGTAAGAAGAGAATAAGATTTGCTTGGCTGATCGATTTCGTTGTGTAACTAAGGATGAGTGAATAGCAGTGACGCAAGAAACAGGCAAATAGCTATTCACGATAACAATAATTTGTTTCGCTTGAAAGGTGACGACGAAACTTCTGTTACTGTCTTATGATGATGGTGATGACGATATCGATTACACGGTTTGAAGAGAGAAGAAAAAAAGAAATCAGATAGAGAAAGAGCAATATCGATTGAGTAATCAGCAGGTGGACACGCCCTTTATTTTCTATCCAATTCTTTTGTTTCCAGCTGTGTATATGATACATAGACCTTCGTTCGATTTTTATTATTCTGTCGATCATCGTGAGCGCTGAATATTTAATCGACAGCTGATGAGGATTTTTTTTCTCTTCCTTTATTCATTCGTATGTTTCCGGAGTTCTGAATATAAAAAAAAAAAGAAAGAATAAGAAAAAAAAATAGTTAGACTGAAACGAACAAATGATAAAGAAGATCGAGAAAAGAAATGAAAAAAAAAATAAGTGTGTTGCCAGCTCGTTGACCTTGTCATACAATGGTATAAAGGAACATGTCATATGTGAGAAATTTGAATGCGATAGCTCAAAAATATATGACTACTAACTTTGTAGAAAACATTCTCAGTAACTATAACAGATGGAAAGAACGAAAAAAAAAGAAATGAGCTGCAAAAAAAAAATCGAGAAAGACAAAGAAAAAGAAAGAAGACAGAAAAAAAGAGAGAGAGAGAGACAGAAGCAAAACACACACGCAGTTTTGCCTTGTGTGTGTAACTCCTATTAACAACGAATCGATAAGAAGACGACATATATACAAACTCAAACGATCGAGAATGTTAATAGTGCACTATCCTCATCACTATCAACAAGTTTCATCATTACGAAAAGAAATGGGTAGGTGTTCATAATTATGACCTTGTCTTCTTACTTCATCTGATCATAATTAATGAGTAAAGCATAAATAAAAAAGAAAGAAAGAAGATAAACAATAAAAGATTATATCAACTTAATATTACACAGCAATTGTGTTTTATTTTTATTTTTCCTATAAGCTCAATATAGTAGATCTATAACTTAATTATATATGTTATTCATATTTATACACGCTTATACGGTTGTGTTCACTTGACCAATATTCTCAACTTTACAGATGATAAATTTTTACTGATGATGTAATAAAACAAAGCTCTTTCTCACTTATGCGTTGAAAGGTCCAAGAGCAATCGCTAAGTGGCACACTGTCTGCAGGCGATCATGATACATATAGAATGCCTATAATCGGTTTTACGTGTGTGTGTACACGTTAGAAAAAGAGAATATATATATAGATATATATATGTATGAGTATGTTTATACGTCACGTAAAGGGCTTTATTTGGTATTGATTAAGAAAAAGAAAATTTCCATCAATTATGATTTAATTTCTTCGAACATGATTTGACTCATAACAGAAATGCGATAAGACAGATGCTAAATATCATACTTAAATATTCCAATAAGATTAACAAAACAAATAATAATAATTAACGAATGTTTTTTTTTTTGACAGATTCAAGATATACAAATTGAGTTAAAAGAGTTCCGTTTTTTTCCTAAGATTCTTTGATAAAAAATCAATTTCATTGTTTCTTTTTTTTTCTTTTATAGTCGGTTTTTCATATAATCGAACACAAACATTTACTGTACCAGGAACTAAAAAAGGCATGAAAGCATTAGTAACTGGTATGTTTTAAATGTTATTTTTTTTTCGTATTCTTCTTTAATAAATTATTTCTGTAGGTCAAACAAAAATTCGTAAAATACATTGTTCTGTACCTCATACATCATCTCCTATATCATCACAATCAATATCTTCGAATCCAAAAACTTTAACACATGATTCAACATCTCCAACACATCAACAAGCACCATCAATTGATGAAGAACCTATTGTTCTTTCACGTTATTCAGGTGGTTTTATACCTGATCCAACAGCACCAAAAAAAATCGAATCACTTGATTGGCCAGCACCTATAGCTATACAAGCTGTACCAGAATTAATGAAATCTCATCGTAGTCGAAGTGAATCTCGTACTGAATCACATGCAAATCGTTCTCATCATCATAGTCAAACAACGCCGAAAAAACAAACATTATCAGCATCATCATCAACAACATCACCTCATCTTCCTCAATCTTCCGATGATCATGATCAACAACGTACAACAGATGATATAACAATAACAAGTGAAAATTTAAATGATGATGATGATGGTGATACAACTGATGGTGAAATGCGTCATGATATACAATTAGAAAAAGATATTAATGTTATGTCTAAATTGAAAGATACATCAGGTATGGCACATGCTTTATTGGAAGATTTACGTTTACAAGAAAAATTAATCTCAAGACAATTACCCCTTGATCCATGGAAAGCATCACGTTCGCCATCAGCAGCTGTTGAACCACCAAAGCGTTGTCGTTTTGATTCACCAAAATTTGCATCGCCGTCAAGACGTGTTCATACACATTCGTCATCAACAACAAATCCAGATGATAGTCTTGCTGGTTTATCAACATCAATATCAACAACACCTGCCGGTGGAAAACGTGTTACATTACCAAGATATCATCAACAAAGTACGAAATGTTTGTTTTCTTTTTTTTTTTCAATTTGTTTTTGTATTTGTTAAAAGAGATTTTAATCATAAAAAAATTTAGGTCCTCTCGCATATGATTTTATCAGACAGACACCAGGTTTGACAAAGAAAATTTTCTATTTTGACCTTGTTCATGCACTTTGATATGCATCTTCTTTTCCTCTATTGAAAACTAGCTTTGATTTTAATAAATGAAAAGAAAGAAATAGAAATAATATTTATTTATTTTGTTTTCTTTTGAAAATTACAGTTCTTCGACCTGGTTATGGCTTAACACCATCGCCTAAAGCTCAAACATTACCAACTTGTCTTGATATGCAAAGGAGTTGTGATTTAGATTCAACAGATCTTGGCACTACACATTCATACTGTAAATATATGATTCTATTATCATTGTAACAAGAATATCTGTTTGTTTTATCCTATTAGATTCACATGATGGAGATCACACTAAATCAGTGAAGGTATTAGAATTTTTATTAAATACATATTTTTACTGTATAGAGAATTGCTGTTCTTTCTAGACTGTTGACGTTGGTGGTGGTGGTGATCGTCGATATTTAGATTCTCAGCATGCACATTCAACTCATTCAGCTCCAACATTAATGAGTAATCCAAAACTATATACATACGAAGAATTAAAAGTAATGTCTAAGAAACGATTACCGTCAGATGTTGATCGTGATCGTCTAGAGGTATGTAATAAATTTTGTTCAATGAAAATTTTTAATTTTAATTTTTCTTAGCGTCATCTGTCTGATAATGAATTTCATACATTATTCCAAATGACACGATCCGATTTTTATCGTCTACCAGAATGGCGTCGTATTGATCTGAAAAAACGCTTTAAACTTTTTTGAAAGATTTTTTTTTCTTTGTTTTTTTTCTTTTTCTACATATTAGATTGTTTATCCCGAGAATGCTTTCTGCTTTATTGTAGATGCTCGCGTGTGTGTGTGTATTATTTCTTTTCTCTCATTCTATTTTATTTAATATGTGTGTGTATGCGTATAAAACTATCATCAACAGCTAACAAACCATAAAAAATAACATGAATTGTTCGATCTCTCATACTTATCCGTTAAAATTATCTTTCCTTCTTTTTCTTTTTTCTTTTTTATTTGTTCTGTTTATGTTTGTTGTGTCAGATTGAAAAAAGAGGAAAAAATGAATTATATTGATGCCTTACGAACAAATTGGAAAAGACAACAACATATATCTTAAACATTATTTATAAGTTATTTTATGGAAAGCTTTTTAGCTTATTGCTCTCTATCTCGTTTTTTTGCTTTTTGTTGTTGTTGTTGTTGCTGCTGTTGTTGTTTTTGCTGACTGAGGAAAAAAAAGAACTCAAATACGAATTTACTCTAATATCTATTTTTGATTATTGCAAGTCGTTTATAATTGAAAACAAAAAAAAAAAGGAATTATCTCCGCCCGATAATCATTTCCGTCACTCTCTGGAGATAAACAAAGAATTCAATCAGTCTGATGTTATTACTCTATGGAACCATAGAAATGATCTTATTTCCTTCTTGCTTCTTCATAATCAAATGTTGCTTTGCCTATGTGTATAAGCGAAAAAAATGGACAAATGAATTTATCGTTCGAGACAGAAAGAATTTTTTATCGTTTGATGATATTATAATGTTGTATGTCCATAGAAATCGCATATAAAATACCATAACACATATATCTAGATACATGTACATTGTAAATGTTTATTTTGGAGTAAAAAGATATGTATGATGTCGTCTAGAAATATTTTATTTATTTAGGATGCCGGTATGAAAAGAAAAAAGAATGCTTCTATTCAGAGATAAGAAGTTCAATAATAATGATGATATCAAATGAAGAATAGTAGAAGATATGAATACTATTCATTAATATACTTAAATCATTAGTCTTTGATAAGGATATGGTCGATTGAAATTTGTTTGAAAGTACTCAGTCATTAATCATTTAGACATAAACAATGAACAAGTCTGATACATTAATAGATGATATATGTGTAAATCAATTCATGATAGTTATTATTCAATTGAAAAGCAAAATAAATTGTTATTCATTGTTTAAATAAATTCTAGACAAAGAAAAATATTGATTTGTTTTTGTTTTTTTCTGTGAAAAGTTAAACCCTTAAGCGCTTTATTTAAATAAATCGAAAAGAAAAAAGAAAAGACATTTCTCTAACAATTGTCCTTTTTTTTCTCGTATTATTTGTTCGGGTATTCATAGTTATTTACTGAGAGTATTTATCTTGAGTTCTTGTCTGTTTTGTCAGTTTTTTTTCTCGTCTCTCGATTTCCGGCTCATTAAGTATCGTTCGACCTCTAGTAGCATATATATTCTGAAGGCTAGAATAGATGTTCTTTCTTGCCACTATCTTGATGTTGACAACCAAAGCGAATGCCCCTAGAAAGTACAGCACTTGTATATTTTCTTTTGTTCTTATTCCTTTTTTTTTTTATCCCCTTAAGATGATTTCAATCTAGGGTACATCCTGATTATGCATGTATTATAAATAAACAACTTGAATATTTATTGATGTGAATACTCTTATGACTAAACTGCTTTTCGTTCACAAAAAAAAAGTTGCTACTGATAGAAAATTCTATTTGGTAGACAGTGATTGATAATATAATCTACGACAAAATGATAAATTGTTAATTATTCATGGAAATTTCTTGTTGAATTATTTTATTGAATTAGAACTCGACAGATACCGTATTTTCAAGATTTCATTCAATAGAAAAAAAATAAAGAAACTTTTTTTTGTACGTCAGTATATCAAGTTTTGAATTATTCATATTGCATACAAAATAGATTATAGCGGATTGTAATAAATAAATCGGCTATTCGTATTAAGAATATTGAGAATTTTTCTTTCGATTAAAATAAAAGTTTGATGCAGAAGAACTATTTCCGATTGTAGATTATGATTGATTATCTAATTCGATAAGAGCTTTTGTTTAATGATTATAAAGAATTTCCAGTTGAATATTCAATAATAATAATAATAATAATAAAACATCTTTTCTTTTTCAATATTTCATTGATAAAGATAAAAGTAATATTATTGATGGTTTTCTTCAACTAATGTCATGTTTAGAAATGATTAACATAAAATTCATAATTATTAATATAAACATGTCTTTCGCTTTTTTTTTCTCATCTAGACTCATGTAAGTACCTGAATCGATACGTTTAATAAATGATATAATAAATATATTGATAGCATTCAAATAAAAGCTCAAGGTTTTCTCATACGTTCATGGAAGAATACTAATGAAATAATTCTAGATAAGAATTTTTTATGGGATACATGTCAAATATTATCTTGTATTATTAATGATCGATCTTTATCAGTTACTCATATTTGTATCGTTTGAATAATCATTGTCAGCTAGAAATCTGATACATAATCAACAATAATAACATCAAAAAAAAAGTCAAAAGAATGTTTCTATGATTAAGTTTAATTGAAAATTATCTAAATTTAGTATTAGATAAGAAAAACAAATATCGATCTTTTTAATCATTTCATTATAAATTAAATACAATGTAGAAATAATTTCAACCATTTATGTAGGAAAATGAGCTACATTATTCTCTTTAAATATTAAAGTAAAAAATGTCGCCATATTGAAGTATTTATTTAACTCTTGTTAATGAATCATTGAATCAACTTGATAAAGTCAAGCATGCATGTAGCGAACACTTTTCATTAAGTTATAACGTTTTCAAGAGTTCTTATAAATACCTACTCATCTAAATGTTTAACAATGCTTTAAAAAAACTCGAAAATTATTAAGTATAATTCGAAAAATAATGCATTTATATTAATATAATATTATCTATTATTCGTTGTCTATTTAATTCAATTGAAAAGAATTATCTGTATGATAAATTTAATTCTACTTATATAGTATATTTGCTTTGTATTAGTATTTGATATAATAAATTTGATCTTGATTTTACTTAATAATCAATTTCATTGATAAGAATGTTTTCAAAATTAGTTAATGAATAAAAAAAATAAGTTCTAAAATAACGAATATTTCTCTTGTATAAATATTTAAAAGTAAAACATATATTATGTAAAAATTTTTAAAATCATATGTAATCTAGATTCTTTTGCTTTTATCGACTCAAAAAATACATTCATTTTCGCTAATGCTTTGTGTTTTTATTCAAAATGACATAAATTATTTTCGATCAACGTCAAGTTTTATCTTCTTCTCTTTGTGTTTATTAAATATAGTTTAATTAAATCATATTTTTTGCTGAATTAATGTCATTTAATTTATTATTTTGTGACAAAGAAAACGAAGAATATTCACAACTATAAACAAATCTTTATTTAATTTGTTTTGATGAGTTCATTTCATTTCATTTTTTTTTAAATTAACAACACCATCCAGAACTTTTGGTACCATTTGCCATATTATAATAATTATCTCGATTATTATTGATTAATGATAATCCAGACGTTTTCACTGTATCATTTAATGTATAATGTTCATTATGATGATTTTTTCGAGTTAATTCTTTATCCAATAATGCTTGAGCTGTTGCCATAAATGCTAATTCAACATTTTGACCTGTTTTAGCTGATGTTTCAAGAAAACTAACTTCATAATCTCTTGCTAAACGTTCACCAGCTTCTCTTGATACAACACGTTGTGATTTATCAATTTTATTTCCAATTAACATTATAACAACACCATCATGTGCAAATTCTTTTATTTCACTTAGCCAAGCTGAAATATTTTCAAATGATGAATATGATGTTACATCATAAAGTAATAATAATGCATTGGCATCACGATAATATGAATGTGTTACTGAACGAAAACGTTCTTGACCAGCCTAGATTTTTTTTAAAACGAAATTAAGTTTTGAATAAAAAAAAAAAGTTTAATATTTTATTTACTGTATCAAATATTTGAAGTTTGATTTTTTTATCACCGAGTGTCACGATTTTATTTCGAAAATCAATTCCAACTGTAGCAATAAAACTTCCAGCAAGAAATGTACCATCTTTAAATCGTACAAGTAAACATGTTTTACCTATATGTATATAATAAATATAATGAATAGACAAATAATCAAAAAAGAAAAAAAATTACCAACACCACTATCACCTAATAACATAACTTTAAATTGATATTGAGTACTATTATTCATTATATCAGTTGATGGTGATGATGATAATGAAAGATTATTTGTACTAGGTGATGATGATGATGCAATATTTTGTTCATCATCACAAGGCGTTGTACGTTTTGGTGATTCACTTATATATTTTGATTGAAGTTCATAGTATTGTGCAGTTAAAGGACCTGTATAAACATATCCATCACCATATGTAATCGTTGATGAACGTTCATTAGGTTTAATTGATGTAAACGAAGAAGAATTCGATGATTTTGAATATGTATTGAATTGATCCATGAATTATTGAAGTTTCGCTTTATTTTATTTTATGAATATTGCAATTTTCACATGATACAAAATCTGAAAGAATATTTCATTTTTTATGAAAAAACAAATAAGTTGACACAGTATCTTCTTTTTTATTATAACATATACATTTATAGAGAGGGTTAGAAGTCTCATCAATTTTCTTGATATATGATACATGGAACAATATTAAAAATTTTTAATGAAGTGTTACCATTATGTTTTTTGGTACGTGATAAAAGTTGATTTATATAGACAAATAACAAGTTTAGAAATTCAGAACATAGTTTGAGTGTCATTAGAGGAAGTAAAAATAATAGATTATGATGAAAGAAGCCGGTATTCTTACGAATGAGAGATTCATATATGAACGTTTGATGACTACTACACGATA